CATAGGCATCGCTGACATGACATTCAATCAAATTGTACTTACATTATATAATTCATTTTAATGGTTTACTGTTTTGGTTGCTGGTGTTCATATTATGGTTTTTTATTCTGTTTCTTTATTGTTTATTTAAAAAAAATGTTAATATTTATGTGTATAACATTACTCTTTCTTTGTATAGTAATACTTATGTGTATAATATTCATTATTAAGTTGCCTTCTTGCTTGTTGCTGTTGTTGCAACTCAGAATTTAAATTAACCTAAGGCAGTAGGTAGAGCTTCATCCTTCAACATTTTCCTATGTAAATACTGCAAGTGGACAGTATTTCTGATGACAATTTTATCATAAACTTTAACAACTTGTTCTTTAAAACAGGCTACCATACCTATCTATGTAGATTTCAAAGCAATATCTAATGCTTTTGACCATCGCTGTAATCTAATTCTTGTTTGAAAATCAATACCTAATATTATCCTGATGATTTTGATTTTTGATAGATTATTAAAATACAGCACTTACAGTTAACTATATTTCTTGAGAGATTGCCACCACAACTTTATTTATTTCCTACTTTTATTTGTTTAAAAATGCCAATGAATTTGTACATGTCTGTCAAACTTTAAAATCATTAAAAATAGAATTTATTCAGGTTGTAACTTTATAGAAGGATTACACTGTCTCAACGGGGCTACCGGCAAGTTGCAATAGCTGAAATTGTAAGAGTTAACTCAAGCGATGTTTCGCGAATATTTAAAAAAATTCAGGGAACAAACGAGGTTACAGACCGGCCTGGAAGAGGTAGAAAGAGAATTACTACTGCTGTGCAAGACCATCAAATATTCCTATTTATTGCACGACGCAATCCCCTGCTTTCTAATACTGCTATTAAAAATGAGTTACCTCGCCTTGAAGGAGTAAATGTTTCAATAAAGACCATAGCAAGAAGACTCAATGACAGAGGATTACATTTATGGAGGCCTCTACGTGTTCCAAGCTTAATTTACAGCACAAAATTGCGCGACTACAATGGGCTGAGGAGATGAGAGCAAATGGACCTAATTGAAATTTCGTCATGTTTAGTGATGAAACAAGAATTGGCCTTAGTGCTGTCAGACCCGCGACGAACTTTGGTCTGGAGAGAGCATCTGGAAGACGAGCACGCTTGAACGCAGCTCAACGCCGTGTCCCGTTTCAAGGAGGAAGCATTATGGTATGGGCAAGTATAATACACGGAGCTCGAACTCATATCTTAGAGACGTTTTAGCCTATTGTGCGTCCATTTCGCGGGGCAGCGGGAGATGAATTTGTTTACATGGACGATAATGACTCCCCATCGCCCTTTAGCGGTTCGCGAACTTTGTAAGGAAGAAGGTATAAGAAAATTGTGGTGACCACCGATGTCTTCAGATATGAATGTGATCGAGCATGCTTGGGACATGCTAAAACGCCATATTGCCAAAAGGAATGATCCTTAAATGAATTGAAACCTTAAATGAATTGAAAATTGCTGGGCGCGAAACACTGGGAAGTCATTCCTTAACATCTTCTGGACAACTTAATTGAGAGCATGCCACGTCGTCTCACAGCTTGCATTGAGGCTCGAGAAGGCAATGCTGTCTATTAGCGAGAAATAATTAAAATTGTTTTCAATATTTTCTGTTTAAAATGAAATTTGTTTTTGTTAATTTTCACTCATTATAAATAAAATTATAACAGCCTAGTAGCACTTAGTTTTTAATTTTTATATTAGTTAGTCGTAAGCCAATATGTCCAAAATAGAATTAATTAACCAACTGTACACCATTTGTTTCTTCAATCAAGCGGTATTAAATCGGAATTAAAATATGGCTTTAAAATATTAAATTGGTATTAAGAAGTCTTTAATAAATAGTATAGATGTATAAATTGGATGGATAATTTAATATAACTAACTTAATTACGCCAGTGTCATTAAGCGTTGAAAAAGAAATGAAAAAGCTGTGTATTTCTTTTTCTGGTCCCTTAAATAATTGTTCTACCAAATTATCGCCGGTAGTGCCAGTTACGATCTGGTTTTTATGAAACGTAAATAATTGTGCATGTAGTTCGTCTCAAATGAACGAATCGTAGAGGTCGATTCAATATGAGAAATTGAATCGTGTGATTCGTTTCACTAAAAAGGATCGTAATGTCCATCACTAATGGAAACTCTGTTGACAGAAGATATATATTTTATTTTTGTAATTTTTCTCTTCTAGTGGCAATACGGTGTATATATTTTTGAAGAAGTATCAATAAATTAATCTACTTAAAATGGTGCCTGGTGGCGTAGAGGCACAGGCTCTCGTCTACAAATCTCAAGGTAGTGGGTTCGAACCCCATACCCGGCATTTCATCAGCCGACCATTTTTATTAAAATAAAAATAGTTTGGGTACCTAGGTCGACTCAGCCTTAAACGAGTACTTGGGATTCATTAACCTGTGTAATAGGCGGTTGAAGCGTAGTGCTAGCCACATTACCTTTCTTTGTATACCGAACGGCTCTAGTATAACAAGCTGTACCTTGCTACTCCCAAGACGTCAAACGCTATATACGGGAGCTATTATTATTATAATAATAAATTAATACAAGTTTTTCACGCGTCACCGTTTTACATGAGCTCCGATGTCTTGAAAAAGGCAAAGTTTGTTCCTTCATCCATTTCGTGTGATAAGCGACCGATAGCGGACGATTAGACAGGATTAGCGAGCGGCGAGATGAAACCCGTCGGCAAATGTTTGTCGTCGTGCGATAACTCGAGTCGACCCTCCCAGGCACCTGACAACGTGTGCATTGTGAACGAGTCCTGTAAGCACAAGGAAAACAAACATCCGAGGCTCACCAGGGTTGTACTCGAAAGGCGAGAGAAAGATGGCGAGGAAGGAAATTAAGAAACATCCTGTGTTTGTTCAGCTAGATTCAATAAATTATGAAGCGACTAACGTTCAACAAGTGTAAAATGGCCAAGTTGAAATTACACCACTATTATAATATAAATGGTTATTGATGCGAGTATACTGCACCCAGAATCGCATGTAAATGTTGAAGGGATCAAAATATATTTTCTCCCCGGATAATTTTATACAAATGTTGTATTAGACTTTTTTAAAGAGGCCTTAAAGTTGTACTTTCGTCTAGAATTTCGTTTTATTTGGAGTGGTCATTTAAAAGATATTTTTTGCAAAAATCTACCTTCAAATTAATAATAGTTATTTTATACTAGTGTTATCTATAAGTTACGCTGGGAAATGTTTAGCCTAATGTTGGGCTAATTTTCTTAAGTGACTTATATGTTATAACGCGCGAGTACCATACAAAATTTTTTTCCAACAGCAGAACTGTTTCATATCGAATCTCTAAAGAATAATTGATTTAAAAGGACCTACCAGTTCTACTTTCATTGTTGCAAGTTAATAAATTAACACGGTGCGTTTATGTCTACTATGCAATATAGATTTGCGTGGAGTAAATATTCGATGCTCCGTACCATGATTTACCTGAACAGAAACGTATATTAGCAAATTCACAAACCTAATTGCATTTTTTAAAAAGAAAAGCTTTCGGATATCAGGCAAAGAAATCAAAAGTATTTACAAAACTGGATATAGAAAATAGAACGCCTTATGAAAAAAGCCGATGACAAAGAATTCCTCTTAGCTAAAGTTGTCTTAATCGTTGGAGTATTTGAGTATTTGGAGCATGTAGGAGGCAAGAAATCACGTTTTTGACCGTAGATGCCAATAAAGATTGTCAGTCATTTATTAGTGTGACGATTCCGAATACAAAACCTATTTCCAAAAGTGTTTTACGATTACTGAGGGACCAATAGATGGTATCAATTTCTTACATGTATTTCGAAAGTACGCAAAACTTCGACCACTAAATGTGACACATCAGCGATTTTTCTGACGTATCGAAAAAAATCAATGCTGTATACCCTGCCAGTTGGAATCAATACAATTGGAGGTATGCCAAAAAGGATAGCGGAATTTCTTGGACTATCCAACGCCATTGAATACACTGGTCATTGTTTCCGGCGCAGTTCTGCAACAATGCTGGTAGATTCAGGAGCGGACATAACAGTTTTAAAGCGACAAGAAGGTTGGCAATCAAGCTCGATTGCTGAAGATTACATTGAAAAATTCACCTGACAGAAACCGAAGAAGAAAAAAAATCATGGGACAGAAAGATACGCCAAATAAGAAATTAAAAGCAGTTCACGTAGAAGCAAAAGCTACCAGCATTGCCAGTAGAAGATATTTACTTATTCCGACTCCTGCAACTTGCATTTCTCTTAGAGTCGAAAAGTTGGATGCCTCTTGTATTCACTTTTGTTTCTAACATTTCATTTTTTACTTTAGGTACCAGTGCTCCAACAAGTGTCACTTTTGACTAGTGCAAAGAAACAATATTTCGAGTCTCAAATAAATATCATATACAAACTAAAATATATGGGAAACTGAAATTGAGATCTTTGAAATTACTTTTTTTACCGCAACCAGTTATACACAAATTTATTAGTTCTGTGACGAACCACCGGTCGCGCTTGAGGAAAATATTATGACTTTTTGCTGTTTTTCAAATCAAAATATTTTTTATTTTTGGTTTTAATCAAATAATATGCAACGTCAAAAATCGAAAAAAGTTTTACTGAAATTTTAGGGATTGTTTAAACTTTTATTAAAAAACATTGATGGAATCAGGCCGTAAACCCTTTCATAAGTATGTTGTTCCGATGCCGGCATTCATGGAGTTGTTTTCCAAAAGACATATCTTCAGCAACGATCCTACATTAAAAGTGATATCAAGTGCGAAACCTTAAAAGTAAATATATATGCATTTAGTTAAATAAAGAACGTTTCAGATATTTTGTTCTAATAAAATTAAAATAATCTTTAGATGATCAACCTACTGGTAATTTGGTATCCAGTGATGTCAATCCAGGTACAAACCCTGTATTTAAAGACAAACATTTGTTAGAACTTGTTGGTGGACCACTCTCTCGTTGGTAATAGACATGTACTGTTACCTGAGAAAAACAGTAACTGAAAAGGGTAGGTACCTACACCGTGGGCCAAATTAAAGTCGCAAAATATTCAGTAATGAAGATGAACATTATTATTTTTAAAAAAAATATCATATCAACTTTATAAAAAAATATTTTAATTGAGCTGTAACAAAGTTATGGCACTGCCTACTTTAATTTGGCACAGTGTGATTCAATATTAGATATTCAAAAGTTTATTAAAAATATTAATATGTATTACGAATCCAAACTGAATTTGGTTTATTGAAATTATTTAAATTCTTTTAAATTGTATCTATCATTTTAGAGAAAGGATCGGATAACCCAAATCAGGAATCTTCAGAGTGCAGATGATGCAGTTTTTGTGAATGAGGTAAGATCTGCCTCTTGTAAGACCTCTTTCAAGAATTTAACCCAGGGTTTACACCCAAGTTAGGTAAGAATTAAAAATATAATAATTTTTTTTTTTTTTTTTTAAGAAATGTAAATTATTTACTGTGCAATTGTTTTAAATCCTGCTTATATTTTTTAAAGGCATATAAACACCATAATTATTTCTTATGAAAAGTAATGCCTGTGTTAACTTAAAGACTAAGATAAAATGTTCATAGCCAATTTCTGTTGAGATTTTAGAGCCCTTCAACGGCATCAACTTTTAATTTTTTTCATCCTATAAACCATACTCAAGGTCTTTTTATGTGTCACATAATTATACATATTTATTTGTTTCAGATCTCAAGCATAGCAAAGGAATCGTACAACCTGTGAATTCAGTTTAATTACTGAGATCAAGGATGATGAAACATTCATTATGATTATACAGAGCTACAAAGAGTTATGTTGAGAATCCAAATTATCATAATGAATTGAGACGAGACAATACCTGTGTAGAAATTGAGGAAAATGCAGAATAAAAGGCATTTTATATTAATGTTATGAACATAATGTTGTCAAATCGTCACATAGATAATATTTCTGTACGCGTAATACTAAAATTAAAAAGGTCAGCTTAAAACAACTTTACTTATCCATCGCGTGCGAAAACAGTGCTTCGCATATGGCATATGGCTTCGGCGCGCTTCGCACAAGTGCGCATCATGCTTTAAACTTTTGCGGAGCGCCGGAGCGGCCAAAATGTCATTGGATTAATTGCATGTATTTTGATTCTTCGCGTTACTTCGCTTTAATCCGTCGGTCTGCATTTTTATACATAGATATCATTGATCCAATTCACGTTTTCTCGCCGCGCTTCGAATAAGTTCGCGACAAAACTATGTTAGTTGTATTTTATATTATTTAATGCCATTGTATTGATTATTATTATTGTATTTATATGAACAAGTTAAGAGTAGCAGTGCCGTGCGAGCCTTCGTCTGAAAAAAAGAAATTTTATTTATTATATAATTTGTATTATTTACTTTTTTAATAAAGTTATTACTAATAATTATTATTAAACATATCCAGTTTTTAATTATTTTATTTTATTAACTATAGCTGTTTTTCATCTATTTCATATTTTTGATGAGGATAAGTTATAATTCTAAGTCTATGTAATGTCATCTGTTTCAGAACAATACGATATAATGGAGCGATGTCGCATTTAGAGTAACTTATTCTTATTAAAAAAATAGGAAATAGAAGAAAAATCAGCTATTTCTGTACAAAAATAAATTACGTTTCAAAATTGATAATAGATAGAGTGGACAAAGCAATTAAAGTTACCTGTAGTTAAAATGTAAAGTTTCCTGTAAAATAAAATAAAATTGTATCATAAGTTGTGTAACGACCCGATGCATGGCGCCACTGAATTCTCCAACAGACGGTATCATTTCAGTTTCCTATATATTTTAGTTTGTATATGACAAATATCAAAACCTGCCAATTTCGAAACGCTTTTCTCACAAAAAAAAGTATTTAAGAAATACTTAAATGTTAAAAAATGCATTTAAATACAAGATACAAGATACAAATATGTATTTTTCTATCTTATATCTGTATTTCAAATACTTATATCTGAAATAAATCACATCTCTGGATTTTCAGAGACCAGCTAATTCTTGTCAAGTATAGGATATAAATCGCAGCCTCCCCGGAAATTAGTAGGGGTGTGTGTATCTGTATCGTTTTGTTGCGAGGGTAGAGGGCGCGCCAGCTCGACGTAATAGCGTCAATGGAGCCCGGGGGACGCATAACCTCAAAGTGCGGCGGGACCCAAAATACCGCGCAGCAATTAAGGGGCCGATACGGAGCCGTTTTGGGCGCCCGACCGCCAAATGTTCGGATTTAAATTGGGTTGTTGTCGGTTTATAATTGAAGGGGCGTGGGGGCTTCCGCCACTCACTTTTGGTTATATTTCATTAAAAAATTAGTGTCATACTCGGTGTCATTTCATTAAAAATTGTGTCAGCCCGCAACATAGTGTAATGATTTTCTTAGCTTTGAATCAAATGTTTTTTTGGTGTTTGCGAAATCGTGCGATCCTTACTAGTAGTGGGAACTACGAATGAATACTATCGAAACATTCGATAGTTGCAATTCATTCGAATAATTCGATAGTAAGAAAACATTCGTTGAAAAGTATTCGAATAAAAAATTCATTTGAATAGATCCGTCATCTGCCTTGAAATATTGTATTCTAGTAATTCGGCAGCAAAACCATTCATTTATAAAATTCATTCATTTATTCGTCAGGATCGATTATAATAAAATATTAACTGAATTTTAGTTGCGACGTAGGTTTCTTTCCGAGAAACCCGACAGCGGTCGGTGGCAATGCTATGAAAGAAGCCGGCATCTTTGATTTTTTGCGGAGTCAGATATAGATAAGGACACATTATTTTTTTATTGAGGTGCCAGTATTTACACAGAAAATACATTATGAAGGGCGCTGTTGCCATATTTTGGTATTAGTTGATATTAGCAAAGAATATTATTGTTTGACTTTAGTTAGTTAGGGCAAGTTAGGGATAGTATGTCTATATATTCTACATTTTTTTTTATTAATATTCTGTTGTTACACTGCAATAATATTTGTTATTTTGGATGTAGGAAAATGATTTTTAATATTTTTAAGCAAAGACTGGTTTAATAAATAATAATAACAGTAATAATTTGTTATACCTATTAACAAATGTATCTAAAATCATTTAATATAAATATTTTTTATAGTAGCAAAATATAAACAACAAATTAGATGTCAAAATTATTTATATTAGATCCTATTTAAAAATAATATAGCTCTAAATTTTTGGGGGGCAACGTTGGTTTATTAAATAATAATAATAATTACAGAACTAATTTGTTATATTAACAACAAATTTTAAAATCATGAAATATAAGCATTTATTAATTTTCTAAGCATACAGTAAATGGAAGAAAAATATAAATAAAAAATTAGAAATCAAAATTATTTATATCAGGTGCTTTATATTACTGTTTAAAAATTAGTATTTACTTTTACTGGCATTTACTTTAAAAAATAAATGAAATATTTCTTCGCAAAAAACTACATTAAAGAGAATTAGCATAAACAAAATACAAACATCGTTAACTTTTTTTTTAATTTGGCACGTGTAAAACTTTCATTTTAATTTTCTCACCCCATAGTTTGAGTTCGATAACCATTTACTTAACCACATTACTTATAAATATGATTATTAAGTTCAACTAATTCATATTATTAAAACATCTAAAATACAAATATGTATTTTTAAAATTAATTGTAAATTCATCTCATCTCTCTTAAAAATTGCTACTTCTCAAAATTTCCCATTAAAAAATAGACCATATACCATATAAAATTAAATAATTGAAAGATCAGACTACGGAAAACCACACAAATTTTCGGAATAATTTTGACCACCTGCACATGCACACAATCGTCAAAAAATAAAATTAAAAAATAACTAATATTTAGTATTTAACTATTTTAATAAACGCAAAGATAGCACAGTATTTATACGGCGAAGTTATAAAAATGTTAAAAGAACTAATAATGCACTGACGCATACAAAAATCAAACGAATACTAAATTTCATTTATCAAAAGTATTCGATAGTCGTGGCGCAACGATAACCATTTAGGCGCACGGCGAGGTTGTCAGATATGCTTTAGTATGGTATATAAATGAATGAATGGTTTTATTCGAATAAAACCATTCGAAGTTGAAATCATTCATTCATTAAACATTCGATAGTCTAATTCATTTGATAGTTCCCATCGCTAATCCTTACCACTTTTCGTCACGCTAGCTCGTGTGTCATGCACTGAAAAAAAAGGATCTCTCAGTCGAAATGAATATGACTTTGACCCAAAAGATTGGCGTTTTTCAATAGGGCCAAGAACGACGTTTCTTTGCCCAAAAAGCATTAACTATCTTTTCATAAGCTTTAAAAATTACTTTAGGAAATAGAAGAATCTATCTGTCCAAAGTATTTCACTCTGGACCCAAAATTAATATGCAAAGAAGTTCTTGCTAGATGAACAATAGTCTCTTTGATTCATGCAAAAATTTTTGATTGAAAAGGGACATTTCTTGGTTAAAGAGACACTTTTCTTAAACCAATAGCGAATACTATTGACTCAACTAAAATTTATTTTGATCTAAGAGAAGTCTATACATCATATACAGGCATATACAGGCATATTACGAGGTATATTATTTCTGATAAATTTAGGCTCTTTCTGTAAGGTTGTCTGTAGTTTTCTGTAAGGTTGTCTGTAGTAAGTAAAGTGATATTATTTTCCTCGATAGTAGTTATCTCTTTTCTTCACTCTTGGTATTTTTTGTGGTGGTTCATCACTCTACAAATTACAAATTACAAAAAATTTTACATCACGATTAATCAATGTAAAGCAAATAAATTATGAAATTATAAGCTTTTGGTCACTCACATTTTGAATTTTTTAATACGACGACTTGAAATTCTAAAATTTTTGTAATTATTTGCATAAAAAAATCGATACCTGCATTCTTATGTTCTATCTATAGTCATGCATGCATGACCTGAACAGGTGCATTAGGTAAATGTTTCTTACCTTCAAATATAGCAAATAAATGCTCTAATTTCCATTTTTTTCAGAAACTCCTTTAAAGAATCCATATATCCTAAAATTTGTCCATAAAAATGACAATGCATGTTAATAATGATCTAATTTGTTAGACGATATGCGCTTAAAAAGCAAATTGTGCTGTAATGTTTTTAGTTCGTTACATGTCTTTTTATATATATTATATGATGTCTGGCCTATCACCACCGGATTCCCTCTCGTTCAGGCCGGATAGTTTATTTGACGCGTAATTTTACGTTCCCTAGTCGCTAACCCTGTTATCGTTCGACACAACCCTGTTATTGTTCTGAGGAGGCGCTGTCAACATCGCTTCTGTCAACTGTCTCCGGGCTTAACCTCACTTTGTTTTGACGCTCTGTTGTATCCCAGCTTTTGGAAATGGTGATTATTTAAGTCTTGCTGTATAATATATTGAGCCCTCGGAAGTATTTCGAGGTAGATTTATTTTGTTTATTAGACCTTGTTTGATTTTAAACAAGAGTTTCATATTTTTAGGGTCCAAGATACGGACTATTTCCAAGGTACGGACTGTGTCCAAGATACGGACTGTGTCCAAGGTAGTGTCTTGTGTACGGACATTATCTTATGTACGGATGTCCTGTGGACGAGTGTCCCCAGTAAGAACGATTTTTTCTTACATATGCCACAGCGTGGATGTAGCTTGAGTCCCATGCCGCTTCGTTCCCAGCTGTAAGCTAATTAGTTACGGCTGTACCAATTTATGGTGTCTCATTTTGGCCCCTTTGGTTGTGTTGGATGGCTGAGCACAGAGATGCGAGACCACCCCACGCTGCAACTGTTTGAAGCAAGATTGCATAAAGAACAGCTAAGTGTAGATTTAAGTTATAGTTTTCCATTTAACATTTAAAAACATTTACAGTCTTAAACAATAAAATATCTTAATAATATCGTATAGACTATGTTGAGTGGTTAGATTGTTAAGAACATTCATGTCGATTTAGTAGTTAAAATATAATTTAGATCTTAGGTTTCACTGCATTATGTCTTGTAATAGTATTACTTTTTTTATAGATATTATTATTGCACTCTAACATCATATAAAATATATCAATTAATTAAAGTAATGCTACATTTCATACTTTCTCTTAAACTTTACACGCATTGTATTTTATCATAGTCGTTTTCATAGATATTTAGTACAACTCTTACCACCACTTTCTTTGACATATAACCACTACATATCTACTAGAACTCTACAATGTCATGTATCAGCAATGAACATCATGAATGAATATAGTCATTAGTTTTAAGTAATATACAACTGTGTTTTCTTTTCTCTGTA